AATTATGTGAGCTACTTCTCATAATAATTCAAATGGACTATCATTTCCAAATCGGATGCATGAATTCGGATGCGATTTACAAACACCTCAAACCCGCGTTTATAAATAAAGACACGTGATTTTGTAAAATAAATTATGTTGGGTTATATTAAACCGTTAAATACAAATAAATGAATTAGAACTGATGTAGTGCTTCTTATTTTAATACTAGTATAAAAATAACATGTTCGGGTCGAGATCATTTTACATATATATATAAGTTATATTCTCGCGATTAATTTTATTTATGTCCAAAGATAATTTTTTTTTGACTCTATGGTACTCCCAAGTCCTTGCTGATTGTCTTCTTCAGATTATAATATATAGCTACAACGGGGACTAATGTACATCATTTTGGTATCTTCTTCAAAATTAAGGGGGAGTTTGGTTGAGGAGAAATTTTATGAATAATAGAAAAATGTTATACATAGGAAAATAGTTGGAAGGTGAGATAGATAGGAAAATGTAAAAAAAGTTGTTTGGTTGAAAAAAAATTTACCGCGGAAATTAAGTAACTTTTATGAAATCTATGTTTGGTTGTAGGTAAAATATAGATGAGAAAACAAGTTAGTTTTACGAAAAAAACCCTGTATTTAAATTTTTTTGACGGTGGCAAACAGGGTTGCAAACCAAGAAAACTTTTTTTTTTTTTTTGTTCTTTGCTTAATCCTTGCACTGAACAGATAAAAGAATGCACAATCTTCGCATGCAAAATAGTGCTCTCAAGAATACAATGCCATTTTAGTTTTGTTTTGTGTTTTCAATATCTTTTCTGATCACTGTGCAATTGTTCATATAGCATATTGTTCCCCCGTCACTTATATTACAGAACAATCAAAACACATCATGTTCTATTACGTCATGGGTCATTGATCTTTTCACTTCACACAAAGCATCTGGAATAAATACCAACTTCACACCCTCCTTCCATGCTCAGTTATCACTGTTTTTGGACCCAACAGTACGAATTGGAGGGTACGCTCGTCATTAGCGCTCTTGCCCAATGTCACCATTTAGCTAGCTAACATGCAATACCATATATCAAGATGGATTATTTGGCCTGCTTTCTCATTCAGAAAGACATCCAAACTGTTTCGGTGGCAATCTGATTTAGGTAGCAATATATTCAGAATGTTTAAACCAAACAAAGGCACCCAATTATCTCACTTCTCACTTACCCATCTATCTCAACATTTCCCCCCAACCAAACACACCCAAGAGTATTAGTAGGGATGCCAAAACATGTCATGACACACAGATCAACCTGCTAGACGACACAAAAATTTGTGCGGTGTTCGTGTTGGAAAAACATGACAGGTAAAATATTCGTTTCATGTCGTGTCAATGGTAATTCAAACCATTTATTGTTTTAAATCTTTTTTTTTAGCAATTATCATTTTATCCATAGTTTGAATGTCATTTATATTGTGTTATTTGACACGAATACAAATTTTATGTTATGTTTGTGTCGTGTCATGTCGACTCATTTTCATACTCTAAGTCCATCAGAACCATAATATTTTCTGGTCATTAATGAATCACTACTAGAGCTCATCTTTAGAATATGTGAGTAAAATAGGTGGATACAACATTGAGTAGAGAGGTGTGTGTATGGAATTGAGAAAGATATAATACGAAGGAAAGCTGTGATACATGGAATGAGGAATGTGAAAGCCAAATGGTATTTTTATCAATGTTAATAAAATTGGACCGGTTTGGCTGGTAGACCCGGGAATCGATAAATCGTTTATATAACCAATTCTGGTAAAGCAACGGACCGGCCATGCATCAACATCAGTGCGACCAGGCCGATTTTCGTGAAAATCAGTGATTCGACCCGATCTCAAAAAAAAATTTCAAAAAAAAAATATGATGGACATATTTGAATATTTTTTGCTTATTAAATTACATAGGTTACGTACCTACAACACTAATATTATCTCAATTGTGTACTATGCAGAAAAGTTTGATTTGATTTATAGTTAGAGATATCATTTACTGAACATGATTGATCCTTTATTGGATAATAATGTGCGATTTATTATTTTTATATTAAAATATTTGAAATTTTTATCATTTTTTTTAAATATTTGAGTTTATTTATATTTTTTAATATAAATTATAGAATTGCATAAATTATCAGGTCATGCAGTTCAACCAATAAATCACTAGTTGAACCAGTACATTGACCGGGTCAATGGCCGAGCCGATTTTAATAACATTAATTTTTATTGACAAGGACTCGCTAATGGTCATGACAGGTCCAAGCAAAGAGAGCCACATGTCAAACATGCAAGGGACACACTATGAAGGCTAACGGGACTAGGAGTGGCAAAAAAGAGCCAACTCATCAGGTTGGCTCGTAATTCGCAAAAAATGAGCCGGGTTGAATTAACAAAAATGAGCTGTAAGCTTGAGTCAGCCCGATCTGATCGTGCTAAAAATAAAAAGAGCCAACCGGAGCCAGCTCGCCGGTTACTCTTGTTTTTTTAATAAAAAAATAAAATATAACAAATACCCACGCAGTACTCACAGACTCACCCACCCACACCATCACTTATCTAATCCTAAGAAAACAACTAAGTCGCATTTCACTCACTCACCCACCTACACCGTCACTTTAAGGTATAGGTATAGGTTGCAAGGCCAAACATATGTTGCCATTTTGTTAAATTGTTCATTGAAGAAGACCTTTGAAAGTGAGATACACACACGGAGAAAAATATGAGGCCTCCAACGTCTGGGCATGTAAATTTTTTATTTTATGTCTAAATATCATTTGGTTGAGTTCTCATTTGTAGAAGTCAAACTGATATTTTTTACAATGATCAAGGTACATGAATATCTTGTTTATGGGTCACAGACTCACAATCCTTTTAATTTTTGTTAAAATCTTTACCATGAGTGTTCCAAGGACAATAATTTTCATTTTTCATTAGCTACTCTCTTTACCATTATCATTGGTGAATCTTATACAGAGTTTTTTTTTTTTTTTTATAACATATACAGAGTTTTGTTAAAGAACAAATGAGACTAGCTCTACAGCAACTTATTTTTTTGATCCAACCTGCGAGTCAACTCTTAATCAATATTTTAAGCTAATTTGCGAACAATTTTTTAAGCCAACTAGCTAGTTTTTTTTAACTAATCCTAACCTCACTTGTTTTTTTTTGAGATTGAATGTGGGTTGGTCCGTTTTGCAATTGTCAGTGACAGACACGTTCAACGCACGACATGCGCGTTAACACGTGGCAAACATGATATTTCAATGCTCACAGGGGTCCTAAAATGTAGCATCTAGATACATAAGTTCTGAAGCGTGGCATAACTTTTTGCAAAAAAAAATATAGCAGTACGAATTTTGTCCCATGTATATGATGGGAAAGTTTATCATGGTATTCTGAGATGGACCCATGCAGTAAAAAAAAAAAAAAAAAAAAAGAATTGGAGATATATATAGATTAATTTCCTCATTTTCTTTTCGCTTCATTTTTGAATTTTTTTAAATAATTTGATCAATTAATTGTTTCTCTTCCTCCTCTTTAATTTTTATTTTCTGTAAAAATTATTGTTACTTTGGGTTTAGTGTTACCCCAATTATAAGAGATGAAGTTAGTTTCTTCAATTCCAAAACAATGTTATTTTTGAATTTGTATGAAAAATTGCAAGGCATTTATGGAAATTTCAAGTTATAATAGAGAAACAAATTAAAATTCTCAAAAAGCCTTGAATTTTTTTTTCATATCCCAAAGTGATGTTATTTTTGTTGGAAATAGTACGGGGAGCCCAAAACCCTTTGCAAGGGATACATCCATGGGCCAAGCGATAAATCACAATAAGTGGGCCGACACCACATCTCAACCCAAAATCTTAAGACTGTAGGTTTATGGGTCTTTTACACTTATATGGTCCTCAATTGGTCTAAATCTAGCCTATGAGGGACTTACTTCACCACTACTCACTCACACTTGATTATTTTCAACATCCTCCCTCAAGTGTGAGGCCCAATATCATTCTTATCCTAAGGGGGAAATTCTGCGGAAGTTTTTTTGTTTTTCTTCTCTTCAAATATTAGGGTCACACTAGCCTTCTGCCGAGGCCACCAAATACTTATAGCCCAGCCAAATCGTTGGCTCTGATACCACTGTTGGGAATGGTACGGGGAGCTCAAAACCTTTTGCAAGGGATACATCCATGGGCCAAGCGATAAACCACAATAAGTGGGCCGACACCACATCTCAACCCAAAACCTTAAGGCTGTAGATTTATGGGTCTTTTACACTTATATGATCCTCAGTTGGTCTAAATCTAGCCTATGTGGAACTTACTTCACCACTACTCACTGACACTTGATTATTTCCAACAATTTTGAGGGAGAAATATTTTTCCTAATATAATATATAATATATGGTGCAGGATATTCTTACGTCGGTGTAAGAATAAAAAATCTTACACAATCTGAATCATTAATTTACTTGTATTTAACGACTCAAATATCTAATAAATCAGAACTATTAGCTATAAATAAAATCAACATTCAAGATTGAGAGTGTAAGTTATACCGGTATAAAATAATCTTAACCCATAATATAAAAGTCTTTATATTACATAGCAAGTTGAATGTTTTTCTTATGGCCAAAAATAACTCATCTCCAACAATACAACACCTAGATTAAGAGAATTTTATTATTCTGGTTTATTTTAAAGATACAGTAGTCTTTTACTTTACAGTCCCCTCTCCCTCTCCTCAATTGTATGGTTTTATAAAGTTTTTGTTTTCTTCTATGCAAAAAAAAAAGTTTTTGTTTTCATGATTCAAATTAAAGAAGTAAATTATTTCAAAGGTGCACGAAATTAAGTAGAAAGAGAACAACAATAAAACAAACACTTTGACCAGCAATTTGCAGAAAACAAACTGCATGGCCAAGCAGCTACTTTCATTCCATTTTTATTTAGGATATTACATCATACATGAAAACAAAAGCCTAAGTGACTCTGTCTCACATCATAGTTCATTCTTAGTGAGCTTCAGATTCAGCTTCAGAGGAGTAACATGGTTCATAGCAGAAGTCGGTTTTATCAAGGCAACGACACTGTGGAGGAATCGAAAATGTACACCTGCAAAATTTACAAGCTGCGTGACAGGTTTCACCAATATCTGCACATTGGCATATAGGAGGGATTGATTTTGTGCAAAAGCATTTATTACAGCATGCTTTGGTTGTTGATTTTATATAGTAACTGCCATCACCATTAGGGAGCACTTCATTGAGGAAGGAGGCTGGATCAAAGCGAGCATCAACAGTTGCAGTGAAGCCCAACAAGAAAACAAACAAAGCTACCTTCACCAATACCTTATTGTTCAACTCCATCTTTCTCAGTCTCTCTCTATGTAATATCTCTTTTTTTCCGAGTTGTGTGTGCAGAGAGCAAGCAATAACAAGGTCTATTTATACATAGATTTGGATGAGTACCGCAAGAGATAAGGTATTTCTTTCTTTCTATTTTATTTTTTCATTTATATATTTAGTTTTTCAAAGACATGTGCCATCAAAGAGTAAAATATACTTTTGGGGAGTACCGATTGGTTTGTCTTGTACATAATCCAATTAACTGTTAAGTTTGAGAGTATAATTTATAATTTATAAATGGGGTAAATATTTTTGGAGCATAAGGTTATCTACAGCTGCCCTTTTGTAACTAAGTGTGATCGGTCACATTTTAAAATTGCTTTTTCTCTGCGCCACTTCAGCAGCCAATAGTGTCTGTGAACAGAGAAAAAAAGAACAGCTTTATTGTTATAACTAAGTGTGACCGGTCACACTTAGTTGAAAAAAGATAGTTGTAGATAATCTTATCTAAAGTGGTTGTAGAAATATTTTTTCCTTTATATATATATATATATATATATATATATATATATATAAAAGTTTAGAAAAAATATTTATGATTTTAACTTGGTTCATATATACTATTTTTTATTTTATTTTCCTTTACTTTTAATTATATAGAGAATGAGAATATAAAAAATCAATAAATGATCATCTTATTTAAAATGAAACAATTATATCATTTATAATCACAAACGTTTTATACATATAATTTTTAAATGCATACGTGTCGTCATACAGTAAAATATACTTTGGAGGAGTACCGATCTGTCTGTCATAAAGCTTGGTGGGACCAGGCCCATAGAATTTGTACACGCTCTTGAGGGGTATAAACAGATTAGGTTGGCTTAGAAGGACCTACGGCCTAATTTATATTATGTCAGATTTAGCCTATTATAAATAATAAAATAAAACAGAGTTTGTTTTTAAAAAAACTTATTAAGAAAACATGCTATAGATTTTTTCTGAATATGTTGAGTTTATATGTCTACTGGTCGCTATGTGATATTATTTATTTAAAATATAATAAATAAAATTATTATTTTATTAATTTTGAATAATAAAATAATATTATTTTAATTATTTTTTTAATTGTTGAATGTTTAATAGGCTTAAACAGGTTATTGGCCAAGATTTTTATTTTTAAAATATAAGACAGGTCGATTACCAAAAAAAAATATAAGACATGTTACACTTATAATTTGGAAAATATATAAGTTAATAGGCCAAGTCATACCCAGTATTTTTTATACAGGTCTGACTATTTATCTCAAAGTCTAATTTAGCCTAGCCTATTTACACTCCTAGTACTGTTCCCTCGGGGGACAAAAAGGGAAAATGAAAAAATTAAGGATAAGATGGCAAAAAAAAAAAATTAATTGTGAGTGAGACTATAGAAAAATCATATGAGCCGAGACCATAATTTTTTTTTAGCTTGGTGGAGAATCTTGCTTCTTTAATTGTGAATCGTACAATACAATTTTTTTTAAGAAGTCTATTTTAATTTTACATCTTTTTATAAATATTTTTAGAAAAAATTATTGCTATTCGTTAAGCTTGGGTAGGTACATGTATATATAATATTTGTGTTATCGCGTTTTTCTAGATTTTAACTGAATTTAAAATTCATGCTATGCCCTGATTAATCGTTTATGCGCGTGCGTGCCTTTGTATATCTTAAAATTCGTGCAATATATTGTCTACAAGAGCAAAAATATTTTATATTATAAAAGATAAAAAAATAGCATTCATTAATTTTCTAAAAAAAGAAAAAAATATCTTTTAATGTGAGTGTAACATAATTGATGAATCTCATGCAACATAAAATATAATTTTCCATAAATGAAACTATAAAATTTAGAAATATATTTTAAAAATAATAAAGTTGATTTCTCATTAATTATTATTAAACTAAAAATATAATACTATTACTTTAATTTTATGTTTTTTAATATATATGTATACTCTCTTGTCGAATAAGTAAAAAAAAAAAAAAAAACTTTTCAATTTAAATAATAGTCAAACTCTTACTATATTACAGGCTCCTGTTTTTATTTCATATTAACACATTAACAAAGAAATGATCATTTCAACTTATCTCAGTCGCAATACAAGCCGAAACTTTTTTTACCAAATATATATTTGGAAAGGGATGAAATTTTTTAATTGTAATTAAATTTCAACACGAGATTAGTCTTATAACATAACAGACTCAAAAGATTAAAACATATAGAGATACGAAAGCCGATTAAGATTGGTATAAAAAAGATAATTATTAAAGTTATAAATGAAGAGTTGTAGGAAGAAAAATTGTCAAAATAAAAAATAAATCTTGGTTCAACTGCATGAAACATGACCGATTCACACCTTTTAATCTGACAGGACCAATTTTTTGATTTTTTTTATTAGTTTTAAAAAATTAGATTTTTGAGGGTCAACTGGATTCGTAAGACTCTAGGATATCGATTTGCGGACTCGGGTTCTAACTTCTAACAACTTAGTTGCAATAAAATGACAATAAGATAAGACACTTCTCTATTTTTTAAGTTTGGCTTGTGTGTATATGTGATATATAATAATATAAAGGTAGGTACCATTAATAATTATAAATATTTTAAAGGTGTATACTATAGAGATATTATTAATATTGTTATTAGGTGTTATTTTTAGGAGATAAGTTATTCTTCCTACTCTTAATTTGTCTATCTCTCTCAACATCGTTAGATTATAATTTCATCTAACGGTAGAGATTTATGAGATATAAACCAGGTTTTTATTTCTTTCTTTCTTCTCATTGCCCGACCCTTTCTCTCTACTCCCACCTCCCGGTCAACGACCATCATCTTCGTCAACCCTACTACCAATTTTGGAATTTTATAAATGACAGAGTCCAAAATTTAAAATTTAAAAGGTGTTTCTCTTTCGTCAATGATCATCTTTTCCTTGACCCATCGTAATTGATACTATTCCAAAATATGTCATTATTTGCTAATTAATTATATATGTCGAATTCACATTATTATTTAATTGTGAATCTTCGGCTAATTTGTTGATTTCATTCTCATACGATCTTGTCGAGTCGCTTGTGTTCGTACTTAGTTAGTTATTGAAGTGCCATTGAAGAGAGAGAAAGCAAGGGACTTGGTATTCGAATAACTGTCAGACTATTGGCGTCTTGGGCATCAACCACGTTCAATAGAACTATTTTACCAAAGTCATAACAAATAGATGTGAATAAAAAACCAATTCAAACTCACAAGGGATTTCGATTGTATAGGATAGGCAAATTAAGAGTAGGCAAAATAACATATCCCTATTGTTAGAGAATAGTATAAACCGCTAATGTAATATCATTTAACACCTTAAGTTTTTGCGTTGAATTGATTATTTACATAATATCAGAGCCTCAGTGTCACAGGTTCGATACTCACCACTTAATGTATCATCCACCCTTCAAGCACAATGTACTCTTATGTGAAGGGTCGTGTTAGAGAGAGGACATATTAGAGAATAATATAAAATATTAATATAACTTTTTCAATAAATTAAGCTTTTGAGTTGAATTTATTCTTCATAGTTATCATATTTGGACAATACTTTTATCCTGTGATTGGAAAAAAAATTGCCACCTAATTAAGACAAAAAATATGTGAATTTCACCATTTTTTTATAAAAAAAAAATTGCACCTTTTTCGATATATATATCTATAGCAGGAGAATACAGCAACACAAAAAAATATATTCCCCGTCATATTTATTTTCTAAATTTTAACCGAAATTAAAATTCATGTTACATATTGACTAATAATGTGTGCGCGCCATTAAAATATTTTAAAGGTGTATACCTACCTGAAGTATAACCGCTCTTACATACAAACAGATAAATACTTAGATAAATAGCAAGTTATAATCTATAATAATCCTCTTCTAACGAATATATATATATATATATATATATATATATATATGATAAAATTATTTCTACAGCCGCTTTACGTACAACAACGACAGGTGTATGATTATGATTCTTCACATTTAATGCTTTCATCCTTTGTATGGTTATGATTCTCCGCATTTAATGCTTTCAAGTATATATATAATAAGTATTTGATTGCTGCACGTACAACAACTGTAAAAATGTACACCCCTATATATATATAATCGTTGATATTTTTTTGATCTTACGACTCTCAGATAAGGTGTCATATTTTAAATTTGACACAAGTGTCAAAGGATCTTATATATATATATATATAAGGTTTTATAAGAGTTATGTTGTAGGAAAAATGATTGTCTAATGTTATAGAGATTCGTTTTGCGTGCCTTAATTTTTTTTTTTTTGCTTTAAAAAGTGTGGGCCCCAAAAAATGTTGTGTGTGTAGAAAAGTTTTTGGTGTCATGTGACATGATAGATGCAAATCCCATATATATATATATATATATATATATATATATATATATCATGTTATAGGAAAATAATTCTACTTTCCTACATACACACAAAAACACATGAGTCCCACTTTTTTTTTCTCACTACTCTTTTCTCTCTCCTTTTTATGTTTGTAAGTGTAGAAAATGGATACTATTTTCTTACAACATCAGAAAAAACAAACTCATACATATAGAAATATAATACCACTTTTCTACATACGCATAAAAGCATATGAGTTTCGCTTTTTTTTTCTCACTACTCTTTTCTCTCTCCTTTTTTTGTTTGTGTGTGTAGAAAAAGGATACTATCCTCTTATAACATAAGAAAAACAAACCCTTATATATATATATATATATATATATATATATATATATATATATATAGGATCAGGATCATTTTACACAAGTGTAAGTTACACTCTCAATCTTATCCATTGATTTCATTTATATCTAACGACTCAAATTTTTTAATAATGTGAGCCATCGAATACAAGTGGATCAATGGTCAAGATCGAGTGTAAGATGCATCAATCATAGGGTATACTGATTCTGACTGGGCTGGAGACAAAACTTCAAGACAGTC